GCATTGGGCTCACGCGCCTGTCTCATACCACAAGAATCCAAATGTTTCCATTTTTGCCATATTTGTAACATTTGTTTGCATTACTATTATTCATTATGCAGCCTAAACATGGCTTTATACTTCACTCATGTTCTAATATCCATGTAAAATCCTTCACATGTGCAAAACTGTTTATTGTTTGGGCACTGCACGCTGATTTTACAGCGGATATTTTAAAATAAACAGTGTAACTTTTATGTTTGGTTGACTGCATTTTAGTTTTATGATGAATGGCTGAAATGTCAGGCAATGCTAGAACTAATGTGTTTGTGTGTGCGTGAGGCACCTCGGCGTTCAGATGGATTCAATCAAATAAAGATATAAAGAAAATAAATTAAATGCATTAAGAGTGTCACAAAAACGATCGTAGCCTATACTTGTTGCACAGTGTTTTTTCCCCCTTTTGTTAATCTGTTAATTACATTATAGCCTATTATATATTTTGTGTGATCCTATTTATTTTATTCCTTTTATAAACTTAATTTCTGTTTTTCTCCTTTCACAGAAGTGCAGCAGGTGCATGATGCAACGATTGAATCCTCACGGTCTTGTTTATGCAGCTATTCGCGCATATAAAGCTAAAGCCCTGTACAAAACAACAACAAAAAAAGACATTCTAATCTTACTGGTTAATGATCGACTAATGAGCTTCGTTTGACGGTCAGGAATATAAAAATGAACAAAATGCTGTCAATCTACAATTCTCCACCGTATTTACTATGCTGTGCGCAACTTCATGTAACTCAAAAACTTGCGTACACGAGCTGAGACCAGACGTGAGATTTGATCGTAGCCACCGCTCACGTCCATATTGATAAATTCCACGTTTTGCGTTGAAACGACCGTACGCCCAATTTCCTGTCGTACGTTCGTTTCGTAAATGAGGCCCATAGTGTTTACACTTAGAGGAAATAAACCTGTAATGGTTTACTTACAGTTGTCTCTGCACACAAACCCGGATGGGAGAAAATGTTTTTCCATTTTTAAAAAAGACAAACTTCGGCTTTCATTAAAGATGATGAGAAAAGAAAAAAAGGAAAAAACAAAGAAGGAAAAGTGAGACCGAGGAAGTAAACAGAAAAGCTGGTGTACAATCTGCAAGGGGACAAACACACTCCGAACACCAGCTGAACACATATACTGCAGGTAGATACACAAATGGTGTGTGCAAACAAACATACTCACTCTTACACTCTCTCACACAAGTTAATCGTTCACATTTTTATTGTTTCTTTAACCAACGTTTATTACAATGAAAGGAAGAAACACCCTGACCAGAGGCAGTATTCTGCCCACATTCAGCCACTGAACCTGAGTATTTCTGTTTCACATCCTCAGTAGTAATAGTCTAACCCTAACCCTTCACACACACACACACACACACACACACACACACACTTTTACAAAGAGATGTGCTTATACTTCCCCCAAGCCAGTTCACCATGAATGAGACACCACAAACAGACTCTGTACAGACGTGGCATCCCAATAAAAAGCCGCAAGACACAGATACATGCATCTACACACACGCACGCTAGACAAAAACATCAACTTTGACAAAGACCGTTTGTCAAGATAGTTCTTGAATGTTGACTTGAGAAAGCCTTATCTGGAAGGTCAAAATGTTTCAAATGCCTTGAGGACTGAAGGTTATGTACACTATATAGACAGATTGAGAGAAAGACAGACAGAGAGATAATTACTAATGTTGAAACAAACAACTTGCACAGAAACATTTTTAGTCTTTGTTGTTCAGCTATTGAAGATTACTATATCTCACGAATCTGACTAGTTTCATCAAGAGTTTCATTAAGAAGAAAGTCCTATAAGACAAATAACCAAACAAATACGTAGTTTAAGCAAGTATATAGAATATATACCACCATAGTAACTAGACCTAATTTCTCTGAACTCTGAATATGAATCATAAATGAGAAATCCTTCACAGTGCACCTATTCTCTCAACAAACGCCCAAGGATCTGCTACATTGTAAGTAAATGTGCAAGTTTAATGGTTTGAAAAGATAAAGTGTAAAAGTATGAAGGGCTGTGTCAAGTTTGTTGTATTTAGTTTGAACACAGTGAGAAATGTTCAATGTAAGTCTATGGTTTTTGCAAAGTTGGATCATCTGCTGTGGGAAAACCACATATTCAGTTGGTTAGGAGAGATACGGCACGCTACATCAGAACAAATTGCAGGTCTGTGCCGAGTCTGCTGGATGTAGCTTGAAGGATCTTGACAGAAAATGTTCAACGGATGTTGAACATTCAAAGCAAAATGGATTTTGGAGGGCGATATCTGATCATCTATTCTCAGAAAACCACAAGCTGAATCAGTTCGAATTGATGCAGCAAATGAGCAATTTTGCAGAAACACTATGCCACTACTATAAATATTAAATGGTTTATTTGAAGTACAACTAACCACACACAACTCTCTATTGGTGTAATGACCAGCATTCAAGACAAGCGTTCAAATAAACTGCTTTACTCACTAAACACACACACACACTGAGGTGGATCAATGTAGTGAGGTTAGAGCGTTACACACACTTCCTCTCTGTGTGGCGTGCAGAGGGGAACCTCCACATGACAAAAAGGAAGACTCGTGTAAATACATTGCGCACACACACACACGCAGACACGCATGCATCTTAGTACACCTTCTTCATAAATTCAGTCACACACACACAGCCCTCCCCACAATCCCGCAGTGCTGCATTACCGGTGCAGTGGTGGTTCAGCGTGGCTGTAGAGCTGCACACTGGAGCTAAACCTGTCGTGTTGTCTTCCATTCTCCACTTGCGTTCACGTCTGCGATCTTCACTGCTGCGCGTCTGCTTCTACGCTTCTCCTCGTGTCCTCCTTTCTCGTCTGTCTGACTCCTTGCAGTCTTTCTTTGCCCGTGTGTCTGTCTTTCTCTGTCTCACACACACATTATTTTTTCCCCGGACAGTGCTGCACACACATACGCCCACTCACACAAAAGCCAGAGTGAGCAAGTGAGCACGAGGGTGAGAGAGAACAAGGGAAACTAGAGGAGGAGGAGATAAAGGGATAAAAAAAGAAAATCTTGGTTGGCTAAGGGAGTGGCTAAAGCATGCACGTCTTTAACCTTTGCCGTTCCGATGGTGCCACACACACACACACACAGTGTATGTTGTTTTAATGTGCGCTGATACGGGGGGAAGGAAGCCCCGGGAGAGGGAAGGAGACCACGTGGAGGTGTCAAAGCTTTCAGAAACCGGCTAAGCACACTACAGCAAATTACAACAGCTCTGCAACCCTCGTTCAAATGACCGGGCACTGGCTGCTGGAAGTGTTCATGCTAAAATATTTGTCACATCATATGATTTAAGACATCAAGATGCAAAACAAAGCTGTAAATTGCAATTCCAAATAATTGCTGAGACTATTCCGGGATTTCACCTTTAGTATAACAACTCAAGCATCCTAGTTTGCATACTACAGCATATAGTATGCAAGAGTATAAATAGTGATAAGCTCAATGGCAGTTGCTAGGCTGGTGCATGTGGCCTCAGAAATACACAAGCTGAATGCTGCCATTTTCGCTCATTGGAACTTTGTTCCCGAAACATGTTATGTGACTAATTACTTAAGAGCTGAACAAAAATAACATGACAAATGGTGATTGGCTGATGGCACTGCAAACACTTCACTAGCAACTATCCTGAGCTCCCTTTGGGAAAATAAGTTTTTTATTGTATTGAATGCACACTTGTAGCATATTTCAAATCCTAAAACTATGTTTTAAAAAAAACTATACTTTTCTACTATACGAATAATATAATATTAATGAAATAAAAGGCCAATTAAGTGTACTTACAGTGCACTTTCATGTTTTTAACAAACTTAAGTACACTTTTAAAAAGTGTACTTTGTAATAATGCCAAATTAAAAGTTTTATGTTAGTGCATTTTAAACCATTATGAATTTTTGTCGTGTTGGACTCGACAAAATTAACTCGACTTATTTTTGATGTGTTGACTAACGTACTGAAGCACTTGTAAAGTACTTGATTATAATTGTAACTGTAGTTTGTTATTCAATATTATATTTAGTTAATATTTTTAAATGTAATAAATTGCAACCTTATCATTGCAAATGTGTAATTACAAATAGGGCCTAAATTTAAATGCATACGTTTTATTAGAAATTATATTTAGGTACATATAAGTTTTAGTATATTTTATTGTTTATGAAAATTACAAACACATCATTGCATAATACTTTTTTTTACAATACAAAATAAACTGTTTTTTTAACCACTAATTACTAACTACACCAATTAGTTCATCTACTTGCATTTATTATACATTTAAACTATAATACATTTTGATTTTATTGCAATTAACATGCAATTACATGTAATAAAATATTACATTCAGTTCGCAATTAAGTATATTCTTTAAAGTATATATTATTTTCACAATAAGTCTTTTTAAAAGACAAAAATGTAGTAAACAAAACAAGAAACAAAAAATAGCTACAATATATCGCTATTTTTGAATGTTCGTCAATGAAGAAGCTGACTTTTTGCTAAAATAATGGTGCAGCTACGGCATCTAACTGTTAAAATACCCATATTAGTCCACCACTAGTCTCAGACCCTAGTATGCCAAAAGTGGCTGGATGGCTAACTTTTCCTGGTGGATTTTTTAAATGTGCATCTATTTACAGCTAATACTGCCTCTAATACCGCCTACAAACATATGCATAATCAAACAGGAGGAATTTTAGTTCTCTTCTTGAAAACTATCTTAGTTTCAAGTGTACAAACTTTAAGTTACCTTAATGATCCAAGCCAAGAAACCTTAAATAACATTACGAAGTATACAATTTTACACAAACTAATTTAGCTAGATGCTAATGCTGCGTCGAAAATGCAAATAATACACAACAAAGCGGTTGGTGTATCAGTATAGTATTTTATGAAGTGAAGAATCCTACAATCAAGTATTACAAACTATATACGGCATACTAGGGCTGTCAAAATGGCTGAAAAACTAAATTCGAATTTTTTACTTAAATATTATCAATATTCCCCCGCATTGATTGTTCTCTTTTTCTGCAATATTTTGAATGAACAACGTAGCAGCGCCGCATCTAGTGGGTTCAACTGGATAGGCTATCAAAAGCATTAAAATGCAATGACGCTTAGGGCTGAGCCGTTGTTCACAGACAAGCTGCGCAAAATATGATCGTGGTTTTGCGCAGCTTGCCTGTGAACAACGGTCAGTGTAGTTAATGCTGCTCCACGTGAACGCACGGACGTGTAGAGATTTACCGCTGATTACAGAACTGGCTTTACTGACGAGATGCGCATTAAATATCGTGCGATATTTATCGTGCAGCCCTAATGACGCTTACATCATCATCGCGTTTCGTGCGCCACTGATAATACTGCCTGATGCACACCTAAAATTCGAATGCAACGTTTTTGCATTCGAATGAGGATTTTTATTTTAAATTCGACGAATATTTGAAATACTAATTTTTTTTTGGCAGCCCTATGGCATACTATTTCACAGATTAATACACAAAATATGAGTCCTATCACTAATCCTATGTTCATCCCCCATGAGTGAATGACTGTGCGTGCGTGTTTAGGAGCTCATGTCATTACCTGAACGTCATTTCAAGCCTTAGTGTCAAAGTTAATATAAAACTTATGTGCTTTTCATATATTTGCAGTTTATATCCCTCAGAGTTCAATGAGTTATAATGGTAAGTGTGCCTTGGTGGGCCCTCGTTCAAAAAACAACATGGCTGTTTATTAATCTTAGACCTGAGGAGAAGAAGTGGAGCATAGCAGCAGAGTTTAAAAAAAGAATGAAACATTTAATTATCCCACGTTTGTGAAGGGGCCAGCCTGTCACTGAGGAGAGCTATAAAACAATGAGAAGGAGAGCAAGTGAGAGAGAGCATTCCTTCAGCACACAGCTGCCAAGTTGGAAGAAAAACCAACAACAAAAAGTGACTAGTTAGAAGCCAGGAGGAGAGCCAGAAAGAGGAGAACAGAGGAGAGAAGGCCATATCGTGGCCACGTACACCACAATCCTTCAGCGTAAAAAAAGCCCATAAACCCAACAACAGGAGATTGAGAAGATAATCGCAGTGCCAGAGACAGCATACGAGGTGGAAACGTCGTCTCGCACTGGGATATGAGTGTCATACTGACACAATTACAGACGAGGAATGAAAAGAAAGTAGGTCAAAGGCCAGTCATAGGGACTGTCAAACTCTCTCACACGCATATGCATGCACTTGCACACTTAACATCTGCATTCAGCCAAACTTATTTCAGCTTGAAATTACAAACCACAAACGGGGAGTAAGCCTACATCTGAAAGATCAAAAAAGACATATTAGCTCTTTTACAAAACCTACTAAGCTACATTAGCCTACTACCTACCATAAACCCAACAACAGGAGATTGAGAAGATAATCGCAGTGCCAGAGACAGCATACGAGGTGGAAACGTCGTCTCGCACTGGGATATGAGTGTCATACTGACACAATTACAGACGAGGAATGAAAAGAAAGTAGGTCAAAGGCCAGTCATAGGGACTGTCAAACTCTCTCACACGCATATGCATGCACTTGCACACTTAACATCTGCATTCAGCCAAACTTATTTCAGCTTACAATGAAATTACAAACCACAAACGGGGAGTAAGCCTACATCTGAAAGATCAAAAAAGACATATTAGCTCTTTTACAAAACCTACTAAGCTACATTAGCCTACTACCTAAATTAGGCAGTTTTCATTGATGGCAGTATCCCAAGTGAAATGGAACTTCTGATTTGAAATGCATCTGATCAAAATTCAAGCACATTCCAAACCTTGAAAACTGTTTGAACCCTGAAAACTCTACAAAGTCCAGAGCTTTGTGGATCATACAGATAATGAACTAGAAAATATTTTTATTTTTCTAAATAAATATGTAAAATTGTGGTGGTGTTCTACCTTTTCAGTATTAAAGTAATTCGAATATTTATAATAAACATTTCTCATTTCTCTCTCCAGCAACACAATCTATGTTGAAAAAGTGCAGTGTTAGGCATATTTTATTTTATTTATTTATTTTATCTTGACTGTTACTGGCACTTACTGGTTAAATGGAAGCCCGTTTCCACCACTAAATAAAAAATAAAACAAGGTAATTGCAACTTTTTATCTCACAAGTCTGACTTTTTTTCTCAGAATTGTGTGATATAAACTCTCAATTTCGAGTTATAAAGTCAAAATTGCGAGTTAGAAATTCAGAATTGCGAGATAAAGCAATTCTGATTTTTTTTCTTGAAATTCTGATTTTCTTTTTTTCTCACAATTGCGAGTTTATATCTCGTAATTCTGACTTTATAACTCGCAATTGGGAGAAAAAAAGTCATAATTGCGAGATATGAACTCGCAATTGTGAGAAAAAAAGAAAGTCAGAATTCCAAGAAAAAAACTCAGAATTGCTTTATATCTCGCAATTCTGACTTTATTTCTCAGAATTGCGAGTTATAAAGTCAGAATTGTGAGTTAGAAAGTCTGAATTGCGAGATATAAACTCTTGGGTTGGTTACCGAAACCCAGTACCAATATGGCACCGGTACCTAGGGGCCTTTCGCACCGCTTTAGATCCAGAACTAAATGTACAGTACTAAAGTACTTGGATGATTTTGCGCGAACTATTTCCCAGTACTATTTAAGGGGTTGCATTAGCACTGACAGTGTGTACTAAGAAGTGGCGTAAGCTGGTCAACAGCATCGTCATTTGTGCGCGGCGTTCAACAACAGAAACAAAGAACAACAACATTAACAACAGGAGGATGGAGGAAGCCGTGATCGGAGCTGTGTTTTTGTTGTGTCTCGCAGGTTTCACAATAATGGACATGGAAAGTCGACGTTTACGTAAAGCGATTGAAAGAACGGAAAAGAGGACTAAGAATCTCCAACGACAACTGGCAGTGCTACATTTGCTACAAGTGCCTGCACTTCAGCGTCCGTCCATCTA